TAGGCAGTCAAGGTGTTCCCGGCTGGATGCTCACCCAGAGGCGGTTACAAGTAGATTTCTCGGATATTTCTTTCTTCATTTAATACAAGCAGCTTCCTTTATTAACTTAGGTATTTATGGCATCAAGGAAGCCGGATTCCTTAACTGATTTGGCTCTACGTCAGCCCTACTTTCCTTGTAGGAATCTTGTACCCTTGTATAAATATCTCCACGGGATCACTGTGTAAAGGGTCGAACGGTTGAAACTCTAGAGAAATAATATCGCATTATTCTCTCAGCTATTTTGAGTCTTTCACTCACAAAACACCCTAAGTATTTTACGGTAGTGTTAGTCCCCTGAACGGCTACCAAAGGCCGTAAAACCAATAGAATGCTTTGTGTGTTTCTTTGGAGTCCGGCCAACTCTATGAGTGAATCTAAGCATTGAGTTGCTAGATTTCTTGGTTATTCATTTCTTTGGCATTTCCTAGTTCAATATCCGGGATGATGCAACTAAGGATGAAGTGTAGGCCAAGTGTTCGAAGAAATGACTCTTAGGTACATAATAGACACCCGACAAGTGTTCTAAGCTTAGAGGAATCCTAGAATACCGAAGGTGAAAGGACTTAGCACGTCTTCACACAATTCTACTTTCGTGATATCACGATCTAGACTAATGTTCCTAAAAGCGTCATGAGAGATGAGCAATCCTATCCTAGTTTTTATCTTTAAATTAGTTTCGTGTTTCATTCCTTTTGCATGCTACAATTCGACATAATCATGCACAAACACATGACGGGGTGCATGATTGGCAATAACCTCCCTTAAGCTCAATGCCTTGTGACTCTTCCAATTTGTCATCCCTTGATAACAATATACTCGAGATTCATCCCACAATCTTTTGACATTTAAGCCGCGAGTAAAACTCGGGGTGTCAATTATTAACTAGTTATGCTCTCTAATTAACTAAATCAGCTAATAGCCATTTACCAAACAGGGCCATCTTGTAATTAAATATCAAACTTATAATACAAAATAATGTTATATATTTATTTACCAAGTATTCTATTAATAACATGGAAAAAAAAAAGTAAAAAATAAAATAGTTTGAAGCCAACTATATTAACTGCTTGGGGAAGATTTGTTGACAAAGAAGATATTCAAATAACCCGTGGAAAACCGCGATGAAGTTTATGAATGTTCGATGCGCTCCAAGGGGCACTCGCCCGTAAACCCGCATGCCCACCGTTCGTTGCATTCACGGCTCGAGCCTGTATCTCCCACACAGTCAGTCATGGATTGGTTGGGCGGTCGAGCCGGGCAACGCTCCTCCGCTCAGTCAGTCAGGAAGGGAAGAGAGCAGCCACGAGCCGTCATCCAGAGATGAATAGCTACCCGGCACAGGCGAGAGACCGCTAATGGTATGGGGGAATCGTCTATGTTCCAAGAACAACCCAACCCCGAGATGGCCGACTTGGTCACCGCGGTCCAAGAGCTTCGACAAAAGTTTGAGGGGAAAAATAGGCAGATGACCGACAGCCGACTGACTACGTCCCCCTTTTCCGCAGAAGTGCAGGCAAACAGGGTACCGGCGGGGTTTTAGTTACCCGACCACCCTACCTATGATGGAAAGAGAGACCCACGTGACCATGTCATCAGTTTCCAGGCCAAGATGCAAGTTATCAGGCAAACGCTCCCATGATCTGCCAAGCGTTTTACCCAACCTTGGTTGGGCCCGCCCAACGATGGTTTCTCAGGCTTCCCCCGGGATCGATCAACAGTTTTGAGGAATTAGCACACCAGTTTTTTTCGCACTTTACCGAAAGCATGAAGCCCAAGAAGTTTGTCTCGGACTTATCTCGAGTATATCAGGATGAGGGGGAAAGCCTACGCAAATACATAGCGCGTTGGCAAAAAGTGGCCCATGCGGTCGATGGTTTAGACGATCAGACAACCTTGATGTTCTTCATTGAGTCCTTGCGAGCGAACGAGCATTATAGTAAGTTACGGGATGAGAATCCCAAGACATATGCTAAGGCTATCTAGAGAGCCAACCAATTGGCGGTCAGGCAAAAGCCCAAACAGGAAGCGTCTTCCCATAAGCGGTTCCAGGCGAATAATTCCCATGACAGCAGAATAGAGGACGCAGGGGTATTCGTGTGAGAGCTTGCTGGGTAAAAAATCGGCTGGGAGCTCCTACCTATCGGCCGATGGCACAGCCCGTCCACAAAGTCCACAACCAGTTACCTCCACCTCCACCCATCCGACCTGGCGATAAACCACAGGTGGTCAGCACGAACGCCGCCCCTTATTGCAGATACCACCGCACAAATACTCACACCACAGAGTAATGTGAGGGCCTTAAGGAAGAAATCGAGGCGTTCATAAAGCGCAGTCGGACACTACCTCCCAACTAGTGGCGTGGACTAGGTCCGCCCTGGCAGAAAGAAGCGCCTGCGCGACCTGCCTCGAAGGCCACGGACAAGGGTAAACAGCTCATGCAAGAGGAAGACACTGATAAGAATTAGAGGCACAAGCTGGTAATCAATATGATAGTGGGCGGCCATGAAGGTGGTGAATCGGCAAGAGCCCGAAAGGCTCGGGCTAGACAGTTATACATGGGAGCAATAACCTTCCAGGAGTAGGATGGAAAGAAAGCCTGTAGGGAGCTGATCGTCTTCACAGACGACGACCTACCTAGGAGCCCTACCCCCCATCGAGACTCTTTGGTGGTCGCCATGGACATCTAGGGGTTGGTCATTCGTCGAGTACTGGTCGACACGGGCAGTAATGTCAATCTGTAGTACCTGGAAGCTTTCCAGAAATTGGGGCTGCCTAGGTAGCAACTACGGCCAGTCAAGACCCCTTTGGCTGGTTTCACAGGCGATGCCATCGAGGCTGAGGGTTGTACTTCATTAATGGTAGAGATGGGCACCTAACCCCATGTAAGGAAGTTGGAGATGGAATTTGTAGTGGTTGCTCAGGAATGTACGCACAACGTTATACTCGGCCGACCAGGCTTGGAGGACTTGAGCGCCTTGATTTCCATCGAGCACTTGTGCATGAAGTTTTGCACACCGACCGGCTTCGGGGTGGTGCGATGTGATCAAAAGATGGCTCGTAATTGCTACTTGCAAGCCTGTCAGAAGGTGGGACAGGGCTTCGACTAGGTAAATACCATCTCCCACTAGGTGGTCGAACGGCCAATAGAACAACATCGCTAGCTCGACGTAACCTCATTATGGAGTGCTCAACTCGCTTGATTCGTAAGGTTATCCTCATCAAAAGCCATGGCGTAGAGAATGTTGCATTCTCCAACCCTATGTAACTGATGGGTAAATACATACAGAAGATTGATCCGTATAGCCGGTCTGTCAAAAAGCTATCCGACCAGTCCGTTGCGGTCGTCATCCCAACACGACCAAATCACTTGTGGTCAACCGTACCGTTCGTACCGATAGGCCTCGTGACAAGAGAAGATGCTCCCGGATCACCCTTGGAATCGCCCTGGCGGAAAGTCACCCGACCGGTCTACCGTAAGGTGACCGGTCGGCCTGCAAGATGACGTAGCCTGCAGCGCTGAAAACGTAACTTGCACGACAAGTTTTGGTATGCAACTTGCACTTGCAGGGCGGCGATGGACAGCTTGCAGGTAGGACGGCCCCGCCTCATCGATCAGTCAACCTACGCATAGCTGCAGAACGACTACCTGACTGAGCCAACGAGAAGACGCCACGTCGATCCACTTGCAGCAGGCGCATTAAATGCGTAGGTCGACTCAGACAGTATAAATAGGAGGACCTCCACCTCATATCTCATTTTCATCTCATCATAACAACTACTACTTACTACTTGTACCCTTCACCCTGTAATAGCAATCCGCTTGTAACCTATTACTTACTAGTTGCAATACTACTCAGCCTCGGACCGCTCAGTCGTCGTCCGGTAGTCCGACCGACCGACCGACCGGCTGACCGTCGAGCGCTTCATTCTACTCGTTCACAAACATACGTATTCGTAGTGTAACCGTAACCCCCGGTTCAATTTACGCTATCATTGGCGCCGTCTGTGGGGAACTGAACGAGTCACTCTCTGTCCCGTTACCATTTTTTCCACATCTACCTCACTTGATCGAGATGGCAAACAGCAGGAGGAGCCGGAGCCAGAGCCACGTGCAGAGGGAAGGATCAACCCGCCAAGTTGGACATCGTCCCGACAACACGGTTGGAACACTCCCTGAAGATGATCTACGAAGACAGCTGGACCGATCACGAGGACTGATGAACGAGCTCACCTCCAACCACAGAGGACAGGATACACAACTTACCCACCCGGTCGGTCAGAATCCCGACCAGCAGCCTGCACGCACGACCGTCCACCCGACCATCCCAATACCTTGGAATGGCGCAATTAATCCCAATCTTACGATGCCGATAACATACACCATGCTACCCCCGACAGGTCAGATGTTTCCACCAACGCCGGGCGCACTTGGAGAAAACCCCATACAAGGAACACCACAACAAGGATTCACTCAGGTTTATCAACCATGGTCTGGAACACCAGGGTACTACGTTATGGCGCCAACCCCGCAAATGATGATGACCTCCCAAATTCCAGTCGTGGAGCAGCATCAACCGGTGGCTCAACCACCCTAAGAGCACCAGTGCCCGCAACTCCCAGATCGTGACCCTGAAGAAATCCAGTCAGCAGATCGGTCGCGGAGATCTATCCGAGAAGAGTGCCAAGGTAATCATCACCCCGACGCCCCTCACCGTGGGAGTGCTCTTGATCGTATACGGAAAAGTGTAAGGTCTCGGTTGGGACCCCAAGACAACCAATACCGCTCAAGACAAAAATTCCGAAGGACCACGGAGACAGAAGGAAGCAGCACCGGAAGCGCATCGCGATTCAAAGAAGGAGGCAGGACTGGCCGGCTAGCCGGTCGGGTCGGTGACCAACCGGTCATAAGAGAAAGACACCCGAGCAGAGAAGATATTCCTCGCCGTCAGCTAGCCAGGATGCAAGAGAGGATAGACCGTCTACAGCAAGAACTCCGTGAAAAAAACGGCGCAAGTAAAGAGCCACCCACTCCGCTAATCTCGACTCCTTTCACCGACGACGTCATGAACGCGCATTACCCGCAAGATCTCAGGATCCCGATGATGCGAACATACATCGGGCGGTCTGAACCTCAAGAACACATCGATATGTATTATGGCAACATGTTGATGTTAGGAGTGAGCGACGCAGTCATATGCAGAGCCTTCTTTGCCACCTTGGCTGGAAAAGTGGCCGAGTGGTTTAGAATGCTGGAGCCACGGTCGGTTGGAAATTTTAGCCAGCTAGCTGACAAATTTGTGAGACGATTCGCAGTCAACAGATTGAAAAAGAAGCCATACACCTATCTTAATCCAGTCAAGCAGGACGTGGGAGAAGCCTTGTCCGTTTTCTTACAAAGGTGGGATCGTGAGGTCGAACAGGTAGAGCCAATGGAAGATCAGGCGGCAATCCACGCCTTCCTGACGTCACTTCGCTCCGGGGCACTCTATTACGACCTCATCGTTAATCCCCCTAAGACCTACGAGGAAGCAATCACCCGGGCCCGACACCATGCCGACGCCACAGAGGCTAACTTGGCCAAGAGACGGGACGAGCAGCCGGTCAGTCGGGATAGAAATCATGACCCAAGGAGGGACCGACAACGTTTCAAGCAACGTGGTCGACCAGAAGACGGACCGCGATTCACTCCGTTAACCAGACTGTAACACCCCCGATTTTCGAAACTTTTGAAACTTATATAAAGAAGGTAAAATCTCATTAAATCCCAAAACATAATATAAAGAGTACGGGGTGCTATGCCACACCTGAGCTAGAGAACTCAGGTGCACAGGCTAACTAACTAATATCCTCAACAAAGTGAATGCATAACGTGGCACGCAGGCCGAAAGGGAAACTATCTACTACTATGCTTCATGGTTCTAGCGCGCTCCAGTGTCTACTCTTCTGTGCCTGAAAGCCTAATATATCTATTCAGCGAGAGATGCTGGTAACCCACTCCAACGCGTTGAAATACAATACATATAGATATATATATATATAGATATACGAAAACCATTTTGAACATGAAGATATATCCTACGAACTCTAGCTTTTAAAACCGGGAATGACTCGACAGATAAGGCTAGACACAAGCAACAGCTATAACAAGCGTATACAGTCCACAACAGGCAAGACAGATAAAGCTGAGCACAAATAATAATCATAACCCAACATAAACAATCCCCAGCATAAATCCCATAGTCACATCCCCCAAGATACTCATAACTCATCCATATCTCATCACATTGCACACTTTGTTGGCGCCACAGGACCAATCGCATGCCCCTACATGAGGGTCAGTGCATATAGCTCTGACACGGCCCCGCAGCAACCTGCCCCGTATCGCAACACGGAGGGGTCGATCGCAACCGACCGATGAACCGCAGCTCATCATAATGTTTGATCGCAACCAAACAGTGGACCGCAACCCAAGAGAATGTCATCTGACCGCAGCCAGGAAAGTATGAACCACAGCTCATGTGGAAACGTTTGATCGCAACCAAATGGTGGACCGCAGCCCAAGAGTGTAAATCTGACCGCAGCCAGCTTCTGAACCGCAGCTCAGGAATAACCAATCCGATCGCAACCGAATTGGGGTATCATGCACACATAACACATAGCAAGCACATGCAACCCACATTAACACCTTGGGAAGGGGGAGAAAACGTATAACAAAACCTATGCGTGATCCTTCACATACTAAGAATAATCCTAAGGGGTTCATGCTTCTTCCACCTAGGTCAACGGGGTACCAATTCAACTAGCATGCAATATATAAGACTCATACAACCTACGAACGGTACCCGAAATATCCAACTAGACATAGGCACGATAGACGGAGTCCGTTTGGACACCACGGGGATCGGGGAAAACATCAAACGGGGAGGCCGGGGTCCCGAATGGGAATTTCCAGCGGGTAGCCGGTGGGTGGGGGGCCACCCGCCGGCTGCCCGTCGGTAACACTGTTCCGGGCAGCGGGTCGCCGGCGGGCAGCTGCCCGCCCGCCGGCTGCCCGCTGCCGGGACTGCCCTCTTTGACCGCGGGTAGGTGGCGGGTCCCCTACCCCCCCACCTACCCCCCACTGACTCTTTATACACAAAACGCCCCGGGAACCGTTGTGGAACCCGAAACCATGCTTAGACACTTTACAACGCAATTAACGATCAACACGTAGACAATTAACAGATCAAATACGAGAAACGTACGGCACATAACCTATCATGCTTTTCTAAACATAATTGTCACCCAAACATGCGATTTCCCCACCCGTTATACCAAGAATAATATCATACGATTCAACCAAGGGTTCTAATAACTTTTATATCAACAAGAATACGGTTCGTCTTCTAATTACAAGATTCTGTATAAATAACACCTAAGCATCAAGAATGCCATACAATTATCAAGAGCAACATATAATCATCAAGAATTCCACATAATCGTTAAGAACACCATAATTATCAAGAATCTCCCGATATCAAGATCACCCATGGAATTATCCCATCAATCATTAAAAATAACATCACAAATCATCAATACACAATAATATGGGGAAATCCTACGGGGAAATCATAACTATGAAAATAGGTTTTGTTGAGACATGGGTTACCTCTTAGCCTTAATTAATTCCTTGGCTATGAAGGGTCTTTCTTTAAGCTTTCTTGCTTTCTTGATTTCTTCTAAGGGAATTCTTGGAGCTCTTTGGGGTGGTGAGTCGTTTATTGTGGTGGGGGGTTCTAGGTGCCTCTTTAAGTCCCCTATTTATATATTTAGGAGTCCTGGTTAGGAACTAATATTATGGGCTTGCTAATTCTATTCCTTTTGGAACTAAGGATTGGGTTTAGGGATAAGGGTCCATGGTCCATAGTGGACCATATTAATTAATTAAAGGGAATCCTAATCGTAGTCTGAATAGTAAAAGGCCTACTTCCTTTATTCCTAATAGATAACTAGGTCTAGGATTCCTAATTAGAATCTGAATAGTAAAGGGTTTACTTTCTTTATTCCTAATAGGCTTAGGACTCTAATTTAGGCAAGGGTCCACGGTTCATGGTGGACCTTATTAATTAATTAAAGGAAACCTAACCGAATTAAATCATATTTAATTATTATTAACGGGATTAATTTAATAATTAATCCGGGATTGAAGGCCGTAACACGGGGTGTTACACTCCCCTAGTGGAAGTTTTGCAGTATGCCGAACAGTGCAACCTGGTCCACCCGCCCGAACCAATACCTGAAGGAACAGACAAGAACAAGTATTGTGCTTTCCATAAGACCAAAGGCCATGACACGGCAGAATGCATAGCCCTACGCCTGGTAATTGAACAACTCATTCAGAATGGAGAGTTGGATCAGTTCGTGAAAAAGAACGAACGAGACAAGGAGAAGTTCAAGAAAAATGTGTGGAAAAGGAACCCTAAAGAGCAATCTAAGGCACCCGGTCTGCATGGGTCATCTGACGATAAGGCGACCGGAAAGAAACCTGTAATCAACGTCATCTATGGAGGCTCAGAAGGCGGAGACTCTTCACGTCAAAGGAAGCAATGGGCAAGAAATTTGTATGTCGGGTCGGTCCACTCAGAACCCCGGGAGAAAAAGAAGCGTGTAGAGCCGATTTTCTTCACAGATGAAGATCTTCCCATGCATGGGGAAGCCCATAGTGACTCACTTTTCGTCACGATGGACATCAATGAGATGGATGTCCAGCGAGTGCTAGTTGACACAGGAAGTTCGGTGAACATCTTGTACTTCAACGTTTTCACCCGGTTGGGTCTGACGACCGACCAGCTGACTCCTATTCGAACCCCGCTATCAGGTTTCACCGGCGACTCCATAGAGGCAGAGGGAGTCATCAGTTTGAATGTGGAATTAGGTGTCCGGCCGAATATCTTGAGGACTATCATGGAATTTGTGGTGGTCAAATTAAAATGTGTTCACAACGCAATACTCGGTCGACCGGGTATCTCCCAAGAGGCCACCGTCATATCAATGAACCACCTATGCATGAAATTCCACACGCCAAACGGGATCGGAGTGGTTCGTGGAGACCAGCGAGTTTCCCGTCAGTGCTACGTACAAGCAGTCAAGCAGTCCGACCGCGAAGACGCTAGGATCCATACCATATCCCTCTCCTGTCGGTAGGACACATCCGAGAAGTGCTCTACCAGGAGTGGCTAGCAAATGTAGTACTCGCGCCCAAACCCCCTACGTGGAGGATGTGCGTAGACTACACTGATCTAAACAAAGCTTGCCCGAAGGATCCATACCCACTACCAAATCCCGACCAGATGGTTGACGAAACGGCCGGGTGTGAGCTGCTAAGTTTCATGGACGCCTTCAAAGGATACCATCAAATTTTCATGTGCAAGGAAGAAAAAGAGAAGACTGCGTTCATATACCCCTGACGAAGTGTACTGCTACGTGGTAATGGCGTTCGGTCTACGAAACTCTGGGGCCACCTACCAACGAATGGTAAACAAGTTGTTCAAGGGGTTGCTCGGGTCGACCATGGAGGCATACGTTGACGATATGCTCGTCAAGAGCCGATCGAAGGAGAGCCACCCAGCCGACCTGACTCAGGCATTCAAAGTGATGGAGACTTTCAACTTACGCCTGAACCCAAGTAAGTGTGCTTTCGCCGTCCAGACAGGAAAATTTTTGGGGTTCATGATGACAGGGCGAGGTATCGAGCCAAACCCCGAGAAGGTCAGAGCCATAATAGAGATGCAACCCCCCCCCCCCCCCGGTCGGTCAAAGATGTTCAACGACTGACCGGTCGGCTAGCAGCACTCAGTCGTTTCTTGTCTAAATCAGCTGAGAAATCTCTACCTTTCTTCCAAATATTGAAGAAATCCAATGGATTCGAATGGACACCAGCATGTCAGTCGGCCTTTGAAGACCTGAAGGCCTACTTGAGCTCCTCACCAGTCCTTTCCAAGCCAGAGGAAGAAGAAACTTTGTTCATCTACTTGGCGGTGTCCGATCGGGCGGTCAGCTCGGTGCTCGTTCGAGAGGAAACCAAAGGAGTCCAAAAACCAATCTATTACGTCAGCAAAGCCCTCCAGGGAGCGGAATTGAGATACACCAAGTTTGAGAAGACCGCATTTTCACTCTGGGTGACCGCCAGGAAACTTGCAGCCTACTTCCAAGCTCACCCGGTGGTAGTTTTGACTGACCAGCAGCTCGGAACGATTCTCAGGAACCCAACATCGTCGGGGCGATTGATCAAGTGGGCTATGATGCTTACCCAGTTTGCGATTGAGTACAAGCCGCGCCCTGCAATCAAAGCACAAGCATTGGCCGATTTCATCGTAGAGTGCACTGCGCGAGACCCGGAGCCAGACCGACCGACTGCTCTGGAGGAACCATGGTGGGAAACCTCTACTGATGGGTCGTCCAGCAAGAAAGGATGCGGAGGAGGAATAGTACTCACTTCCCCAGAAGGTTTCAAAGTCTACCATGCTTTGATTTTCAAATTTCGACCCACCAACAACGAAGCCGAATATGAAGCACTCATAGACGGACTACGGTTGGCCAGACAGATGAAGGCCGACCGACTGAGGATACGATCAGATTCTCGATTGATAATCGGTCAGCTTTCCAACACGATCGAAGCAAAGGAGGATCAGATGATACAGTACAAGGACATTGCGCTGGAATTGTTACAACAGTTTGACGGGTATGAGTTGATCCAAGTGCCCAGAACAGAGAATACGGACGCCGACATGCTGTCCAAATTGACCCAGGAAGCCCCAGAGTACGTGTCCAAAATCGCACGGATTGAAGAAATCGGTTCGCCAAGCATTGACATCATTGAGGTCCGACCGGTCGAAATAAGCGAGCCAGATTGGATGTACGACCTGAAGAACTACATAGCCAATGGCGCTCTACCGGATGACGCCACCAGGGTAAAGAAGGTCAAATTGAGAGCACCGCGTTTCCAGTTGGTCAACGGGAAGCTCTACAAGCAGTCGTACGGCGGACCACTCTTAAGGTGTCTGACCAATGACGAAGCTAAAATTGTGATTGAAGAAGTTCATGATGGAATTTTTTCCGCCCACCAGGGACCAAGGACGTTGGCACAAAAAATCATCTTGCTAGGGTACTATTGGCCTTCAATCAACTTGGATTGCGAGCAGTACGTTTGTCGATGCGTTACTTGTCAAGATTTCCACAAGTTGCCTGGCCGACCGGCCACTTATTACCAACCGATCAGCGAGGTAATACCCTTTGCGAGATGGGGAGTGGACCTGATCGGAGCGTTCCCAATGACGGCCGGCCGGAAGAAATATGTGATCGTAGCCATCAACTACTTCACCAAGTGGGTGGAGGCGGAAGCACTTGCAACCATCACCTCACAGCAATGCCAAAGGTTTCTCTGGGAAAAGGTGATCACTCGGTTTGGAGTTCCAGACTACTTGATCACTGACAATGGGACGCAATTTGATAGCCAGCCATTCAAAAACTTTATGGCTCGGCTGGGCATCAGACACACTCGAGCAGCTGTAGCATACCCGCAAGCCAACGGACAGGTGGAAAACACCAATCGGACGATCCTTGATGGACTAAAGAAGAAGTTGCAAAGCGCGGGTCGAGGCTGGGTGGAGGAACTCCCGTATGTTCTCTGGACCTATAGAACCACTCCTTGACGAGCGACCAACGAAACACCTTTTTCGTTGGCCTACGGATTTGAAGCGAGAGTGCCAATTGAAGCATGGCTCCCTACTGCTCGGGAAAAGAACTACCAGCCAAAAGAAAATGATGTTGCAAGGTGCAAAGCTAAATTTTATTGATGAGAAGAGAGATATGGCGGCACGGAGGATGGTTGAGTACCAGAAGGCCGCCAAAACCTACCATGACGGTCGGGTGAAACCACGCTATTTCCAAGCAGGTGACTTGATACTCCGGCGAAGGGAAGCAAGTAGACCTACCGACCATGGAAAGTTTGCTAAGAAATGGGAAGGACCCTACAAAGTCTCGGCAGTTGTCCGACCTGGCACTTACAAATTAGAGACCCTGTCCGGTCCACTGATCGACCGAGTATGAAACTCCGAGCACCTCATGAAATTTTACAAGTAGTGTAGGGTGACTATTATATTACTTGTACTCGGATGATTAAATAGAAAATTTCCCTCTTAATGTCGTTGTATCATTTCCGACCTCACTCCGAACATTTCAAGTGGCTCCTTAAAAAAAAAAAAAAAAAAAAGGGCCGGTCGGCCAGCTTGTTTTCCCGGCCCTGTCGTTTGAGGTTTTGCCAGGTCGAGTTATCCCGGCCCTACCTGCACGACTTTGTCCGGTCGAGTTTGTGATTAAGTTCACTCGTTTATCCCGGCCCTGTCGTTTGAGGTTTTTCCCGGTCGAGTTATCCCGGCCCTGCCTGCACGATTTTGTCCGGTCGAGTTTGTGATTAAGTCCACTCATTTTCCCGGCCCTACTGTTTGAGGTTTTGCCCGGTCGAGTTATCCCGACACTACCTGCACGATTTTGTCCAGTTGAGTTTGTGATGAAGTTCACTTGTTCTCCCGGCCCTGTCGTTTGAGGTTTTGCTCGGTCACATCATCCCGGCCCTACCTGCACGACTTTGTCTATTTGAGTTTGTGATTAAGTTCACTTATTTCCCCGACTCTTTCGTTTGAGGTTTGGCCCGGTAGAATTACCCTGGCCTTACCTACACGATTTTGTCCGGATGATTTCTTCAAACCAACCAGTACGGTCACACTCGACCGGTCGGTCTGACATGTCTAATGGTCACCCGCTTTTTAGTTTACGGGAAAAAGCCCTACCCATCGGGTATCCTGTATGGCTTAGGCTTAAGCCCTACCCATGCGGTTTAGCTACTATGTATTTACAGGGTGAAGGGAAGACGGTCAGTCGGATCAACACATGAAGAATAGAAAATCACAAGTAGTAAATACAGAGCAAAGGAAATAGATAACACATAAGCAAATGAGGCATAGTCTGACCGACACAAGAACAGGGTCGGCCTCCCGAGAACGAGGAGTAAAAAGTCTAGGAAAGGTAAAAGACAACTACAGATCACATCACATCACAATCAAGAACCTTGATTCCGAGAAGCAGCAGTAGAGGGGGTCGGTCGGTGGATCAATAAATGCCTCGGGATTCGCTGGTGGCCCTACTTCTCTAGGTAGCCCGGTACGGACCTGTTCCCAATCCTCTGCGAGAAGTGTTTCTTCAAGAGCTTGGTGCAAAGACACCTGCATGGCATGCTTGCCCCTTTGGTAACCCCAGGCGGTCGCCCTGCGCACTACCTGCAGACCGACGGGATCACGGCACAATGCTTGAAGGAAGGAGACAACGGCGTCTTCGGATGAACAAAGTGACTTGGCCAGGTCAGGTAGCTCGGCCGGTCGGGAAAGGTAAAGCTCAGCAGCTTTCTGGAAAAACGGGGCAGAACCAGGATACTGATTCCAGGAGTCCACTTGAGCCTCTAGGCTCCTCACCCTCTCCTCAAGTTTATACACTTCTGAGTCATGCCCCATGGCTTCACATTTAGCCCGGATGAACAACTCAGCAGTTCTAATAGCAGCCTGACCTGTGCACAAATCAATAAGGAAGGTAACATTGACAGACGAAGAAAAGAGAAAGCAAGGAAAGAGCGGGAAGCGGCTGGTAGCCGGAGTAAGTACCAGGGCCAAGTGATGGGCAACTTGCCCTCCCAGGGAGTCGGTCGATCCATGAGTTAGGAGCTCAGGTGGAGGATTCAGCTGGAACAACAGATTGAACATCTTCGGCAGATTGGTCGTGCCTTGGGTAAGTGCTTTAGCAAGTGGAGGCGCCTCCTCGCATACCCGGGCTCTTTTAGGGTCAGCAGCTTGGACTTTCGAGAATGGCTCGACCTCCGCCACACCTAGAGGACGTTTCCCGGCTGATTTAGTCTGAATCGGAGCAGCAGAGGAGTCAGACGGATGGGGGCCGACAGGTGTTCGGTCGGCAGTATGGTGATCCCCGGAAGAGGCGGTCGTCCTCTTCAGAACAACCTTCAGACTCCGCTTGTTTTTACTACCTGGCGAAGCCTTCCCTGCTGCATCTAACATCTTTTCTAGATTATCGTCGAATGCCATTGCTGATTGACCTGCGCAACAAGAGACAAAACAAACAAAAGAATTAGAAGTGAAAAGGAAACAGGTCGCGATATTTCGACCGACCCACCACTTGTGACGGAGCGACCCAATGGCTCGTAGGTCGGGCGAGGAAGCTGAGCCGCTTTCAAGGCATCCGAAGAGTGATAAACCTCCCAAAGATAAGACTCGGATCCGATCTTCTCGACAGCATCAAGGATCTCTGGAGTCTCGGGCGGACACACGCAATTACGCATCCGCGACGACCACTTGTTTGTGAATGGCGGCTCATCATCCAGCCTAACTCGTAAAAACTTCCCTTTCCAATTGCGGTTACTGTCCGGCAGATCGTTGATTTTCCCGACTGCCCCGCGACACTGGATCATAACGAAGCCGCTGCCTTGAGACTTCGTCAAAGGTTTCACGAGATGGAGAAAATTGAAGAGGTCGATTGTGCAGGGGACTTGGTGCCGTTGGCAAATCTGAGGGAAGCATGCGAGTATGCGGTGACCGTTCGGCGCTATTTGACTCGGCACTATACCATAGTAACTCACAAATGCGACTAGAAATGGATCAAGTGGAATCTGCATGCCGGCCTTCAAGGAGTCAAGATGAACGCCTATCCACCTCTTGCAATGACAACTTATGACGTGGGGGAGGCTCCAGTCAATGTTGTATGTGACCTCCGCTCCAAAATGTTCTTTGATAAAGTCCACATCCTTGGTGGACAAGTTCAGAGGGGTGTCACTAGCACCTGCAGGGTCCAGAGTGACATATTTGGCACCCGACATGTTGGGCTTGCTGACTGACGACCCTTGGGGTTTGGATGAGGTACTTTCCTTCTCGTGCATTTTCTTTTTCTTCTTTTGAGTTGCCTTCGACGAGACAGACCGTACAGGGACAGCTGGACATGCCCTGGCCGGTCGCTCGCCAACCGGGCGAGCGGGGATAGCAAACCCATCACCTTCTGGACCCGATGACGACCCCTTTGAATCACTAATTTCCTCGACTTCCTCGTCATCATAGTCGCGGGCGGAGAGATTCTGACTATCATCCGATGACATGCTGCGCAATCAAAAAGAATAAAAGTTGGTAAGCAGAAATCAGCAATTGATCAAATTAAATCTCAAAGCTATGTTACAATCAAAGGAGATCAATACACTTTGATGAAGCAAAACTAATGGGAGCCAAGATGAGTGGAGCAACCGACCGGTCAACCATCCGGACGATCGACCGGATGGCGGAGTGATCGGTCAGTCGGTCGACCGGTTGGTGAGATGACCGGTTGGCGGTCGATTGATCAACTAGGTAGCACCAACAAATGACAATAGCAAGGAAACAACTACAACAGTTGGCGCATGGCCGATCGGTTTAGCAATAGGACGGACAGTCTACAAAAAATGCAATTGGACGATTGGTCTACAAAAAATGCAATTGGACGATTGGTCTACAAAAAATGCAATTGGACGATCGGTCTACAAAAAATGCAATTGGATGTTCGGTCTACAAAAAATGCAATTGGACGTTCGATTTACAAAAAGTGCAATTGGACGATCGGTCTTCAAAAATACAATTGGATGTTCGGTCTACAAAAAATGCGATTGGATGGTCGGTCTACACAAAAGTGCAATTGGATGTTCGGTCTACCAAAATTGACTGGTCGACAAGGCTGCAAACATGGTCTCACAACGCAGCACTTTGCTCAGTTTTGTACGGAGTAAGTTTATTTTCCATTCAAAAAAAAAAAAAAAAAAAAAAAAAAAGAGACAGATGGGATTGACTGATCGACCGATCTAGTACGCTAGCTGGTCAACCATCAACAAAGCCACAACAAACAAAATTTTAATTTTGGCATTCGGCCAAATTGAAAAAAAAAAATCATGAAGCGGAGAAAGAGAGCAGCAAAAGCAGCAACAACAACTACTCATGCATGCATATATTCTTCTCATGCATGCATATATTCTTCTTTGAAAATATGCTTATGCATACATGTATGGAAAAAGCAAAAGAAAGAGAAAAGAATATGCATGGTGGCACTATGAAAACAAGACACATAAACATATGTATAATTAAGCAAATAAAAAAAAAAAAAAAAAAAACAAAAAACAAAAAACAAAAAGAAGTAGCATACCTTGTGGCATATGTAAGAATTAGGCACATGTATTTTTTATGTTGACTTTAGCAAAGCAAAGGAATCATGCATGTAAAAGTTTGTTAAAGAAGAAGAAAAGAAGAAGAAAGCGCACCAGGAGGCTTGGGCGAGCGGTCGGCCGGTCGGCAAAAGGAGCAGGTGGTTAGCTGATGCGATGCAACGGAGCAACAAGAAGAAAGAAGAAAATAATTTTTTCTTTGGAAAAGTTTAGGGTTTCGGTCGGACAGCAAGGAAGAAGAAAAAATAAAAAGGAAGGAAAGGGAAAGAAGAAAGGAAGGAGAAGATTTTTTACCTTGCAGGATGAAGAAAATCTCAAAAATCAGTTAGCCAGGGAAAGTGAGAGTAAAAAATGAAAAAAAAAAAAAAAAAAGAAACTAAGGGGACTATTTATAAGAGAGTAACGGGCTTGGAAGTT